AAAGTAGTAAGAGAAAAATGATAAACTGTACATCAGGGGACAGTGATCTGATCAACTGCCAACTTCTCAGTAGAAACCATGAGGCCAGAAGAGAAAGGGAAAACGTCTTTAAAATGCTGAAAAAGTGCTCACTTCAGCAGCACACATCATAAAGTGATGAAAGAAGGAAAAGCAAAACCTATCAACTCAGAATTCGATATCCAGTGGAAACACTATTCAAATAGGAATGCAAAAATAACATTTTCAGATAAAATAAGATACAATTTTGTGGCCAACAGACCCATATTATAATGTACTATAAGAAATGGTAAAGGAAGGTCTTTGCTAAGGGAAGTATTATTGATGGAAACTCTGATCCCTGGGAAAACATAAGTACCAGACGTGATAAATATCTGGGTAAATTAAGACTATCTTTTGCAAATTAAAACAACACTGAGATTACATCATACTCTCGGAAGAATGGCTATCTCAAGAAATCAAATAACAACAAATGTTGGAGAGGCTGCAAAGAAAAAGGTACCCTTCTTCATTGCTGGCAGAAATATAAACTCATACAACTACTGTGGAAATCATATGGAGATTCCTCAAAACATTAAAAATAGAAATTGCATTTGTCCCAGCTTCTGCCCTTCTAGGTATCTTCATGAAAGAGTTAAAGACATAATACCTAGTGATACATGTGTGCCCATGTTTATAAACAGCATAATTCACACTAGCTAAATCTTGGAAATACCTATTTGCTATCAACAGATAAGTGCATAAAGAAAATGTGATATTTATACACAATGGAGTACTACTCTGCCACAAAGGACAGTCTTGAACCATTTGAGGACAATGAGTGCACTATGATACCATAGTAAGTGGAGTATATCAGACACACAAGCTAGCTTAGCTACCACGTGGTTTCTCTTAAATGAGAAACCAAATACATAAAGTACAAAATAAAAGACAATAGAAAAAAAAAAAGAGAAAAAAGTTATTGTACCCCAGCATGGCCAATGTATCTAAAGTATACCTTGCTTTAATAGAATTATTTTATGTGTTTTATATGTTTTATGGGTTATTAATTTGGTTGTTAATCTGTGTTTATGATGATTAACTTGATAAAATCCTATAAAAGTAAATAAATCTGATCCCAACCAAAAACGAAAAGAAAAAAAGGGTGGATGGGAGAAGAAAAGAATTGAGTTGTGCTCTATACATGTACCAGTTCCCCACAATAAATATAAATATTATGTACTGCAAGCATATACTAATAAAAATTTTTAATGAATTTTTAAATACTTTCAGTTGCTTGTATTCTCTTGATTTCTTTATAAATTATTTGTTTAAAAATAAAATCACAGCACTGTGTTGAGTGACCTGTTATTGGGAAAAGTTTTACATAAAACATGAGCTCCAAGTTCTCATAGGCTTCTTACTCTATGAAATAATATATTTATATAACAGGATGCTTTGGAGCCTGGAGTGATAGCTTCTATTGTACTGTAGCCTGTTCTCAGCACTACAGGTTTTCTTTGAGGGTAAACTGGGTAGGAATGGGGTGAAGGATGGAATCTTAGAAAACTAACAAAAGGGGAGATTGACAGAACTAGGATATACCTTAGCACTCAACTGCCTTAAGACTAATCAAATTTGGTACTAACCACACTTTGATGTGAAAATTTTACCTCAGCACTTGTTTGTCTGGTACTTGTTTGGCATGCAAGGCAGAATTTATCAGTGTCAGTTGCCTCATGATTTGCTGCCCATTCCAGCCAAAACAATTTGGTACTTGTTGTTTTTGGTACTAGTGTTATAGGCAGCTGAGTTAGAAATATTACAGGCAGTCAGACAGGGCTAGGCCAAGGAGATAGCACAGAAGACCAGATAACTTGCAACTGTGTGAGAGAAGGATGTTCCTGCTGTGGGCCAGACCTAAAGATGAAAGATCAAACAAGTGCTTACCTTCTTAAAGGTAAGCATACGGAATTGATCATCACCTTGAGGAAGCCAGGAAGTCACTAGTCCAACTGCTACCAGCTACCAGATAAACTCCTATTCTGTATTCATGCCTGCTTGTTATGTGACTTGCTTCCCCATTTGGTACTGGATTTAATCCATTTTACCTGAGCAATGGTGCTTGCAAACTTATTGACTGACCATAGTTTTGTCTCACCTAATGCCCACCTAAGTGAGTTCCCATGTTCTCCACCTTAGACCCATTTCACTGCATGGTTTTGCTCTATAAAAATCCCTGGAAATGGCAGATTTGGGGGGTAACCTGCTCGGGTCCCTCTCTCAGACAGAAGCTTTCTTTCCCCCCATTAAATACTCTGCTTTTAGTCTCCATTTGTTCCTAAAATTCATTATTGTTTTAGAGACCATAAACTTGTTCCAGGTACCTTTTAGGTTGGGAGTTTCATTCCCCTATATCACTGGGACTCATAGTGCCTCTTGGAACCAACTAATGATGAGTACCAAAGTACTGCCATGAATACTTGAGGAGGGACACTACCACATGGGAGAAAAACAGGGTGACAGAAAATGTTCCTATGGTAAAAGTTAGGTTTCCAGCTTTGTTTCCATTCCTAGGCCTAAGAATCTCTTCTCTATCACTGCAGAAGCAGGAGAAAAGTAGCATATATTGTTCACAGCCCAACTCCACAAACTTCTCATTCTATATTCCTTACTAATGTTCTATGGAAGTGAAAAGAATGTCTCTATGTCTTAGGTAGAATCTAGCTCCTCCTGGTATTTCATTTTCAGCTAGAACTGGGGGCAAAGGCAGTGGTAAGACCTGGGAAATAGTAAGGAGGAAATTTACAGATACAATTTGAAGGTCTGCCCTTGAGAAAAGGAAGTCAATGAACTGGATGGTGGATGCATCATGAATACCTATGTGAATCACTAATAGCCACAGACTCTAAGCATGATGAGTATGCAGGGTGGAGGGGACCAATTGTTCCAGGTGCTGATATTCTTGATAAACTGTGAGTGTCCTGTGAGTAGGTAAATGATAGGAATAAGGACACAAGAAGGGGATAGTTGGTGTTGTTAGCCTTAAAAGAGAAGGACTTTTATATGAGTAGAAAATGATGCTCTAGAAAAGCAAGAGGAGCAAGGAAAATATTTCTTTGGCCACCTCTAAGGTCTACACGTCCTTTCTATATTCTGTTCTTTATCTGGTTGAATAGAACTACTGTTTCCTAGGCCTACTCAGAAACCTGAGAATCTTTTACTCGTTTTCTTTCATTTTTTATATCCAATCATCAAATGCCTAATATTGCCCTAATCCACCTGCAAATTACACACATGGGTAAGAAACAATAGATTTGAGGTCTTTCTATTGGTGGCTGTGATAGAGTAGGGTAAGTTGGATCTACTGGCCTCAAAGTTCTGAATGGAACCCTAGGATATTGCTGATTTGGTTTTTGGGATATTGCAGGTATGTGTATAGGTCCCCAGTTTCTATTAGAGGTTGTTAGCATCTTAGTTTATTTTAGGAAGGTTTTTTTTTAAAACATCCATTTCTATAAATTCTATTTTTGTTCTGCTGTGGATATGGCACCCTTTTTAGAGAAAATGTGCAGGAGGAATTATACCAAGTTTAGAACCTCAAAAAAAAAAAAAAAAGAACCTCAAAAGACAAATGACACATTGATAAATGATGGGAGGAGTACTAGTAGAAAAGGATTCTGAGGCTTAGTCTTTGAATATGTACTCAGAAAGGAATCACTACAATTAATTGTTGAACTCTAGCGCTCAAGAGTACAAGCTGTAGCTGGAGTGGCTGCAGAGGGAGATGTATTGACTGGTCCTTAGAAGTGAGGGACAGCCTAAACTGATACTAAGGAGTCAGACTCTGTGTCAGTGAAGGTCAAGACCTGTCTGTCAGGTCTTGGTCAGGTGCTAATTGAAGAGTTGGGTAAAGCAGGAGTGTGAGAGCTGGAAAAGCCTGTTTATTGCTACTAATGTTTGCTAAATTCTTCACCAGAGCTGGTTGGCCATTTCAGAAGCCTGGGCATTGCAGCTATCCCTCTAAATTAAGCCTTTCTACCTTCACCTGCCCCAACTGATTAAAAAAAAAAAAATAGTCATGGGGTCATTTGATTTGTACAGATCTCTCCCACACCAACAGAAGTCATAAGGAGCATGAGTTCTGAACAGCATATCAGTCCCAACCCTGCCTCAGAAAGCCAGTATAAGTTTTGGGTCTTGGATGCCCATTTCGCTCATGAGAAGCCATTAACTGTTCCTTACCACAACCAAAAGAAAGCCTTTCCTTTTATAGAGTGTTGTGTCAAGGGTGAGTCCTGGGTAAGTGGTGGTTATTGGATTTACAGCGGTTTAAAGTGGTTACTGTGGACTTTGAGTTTTGGGGGGTACTGTAGGATTGAACTTCACCTGTAAACTGGCTATAGGGTGGGGAAGAATCTCATCTCCCGCAGGCAGGTGAGTTCAGGAGAGTCTCACTGCTGGGTGAGTGTGTGCGGAGGAGGGTGCTTTGAATGGATGACCCTCGAGCCTTAAGTCCTTCGGAGGGCAAGAGCTGGGAGGCCTGTGAGACCCAAGGATGGGGCGCAACCTCCTCCCTTCCCACCTCCAAGGCCTGGTGACCCCTGAGCAAGAAGACCTTCAGTGAGTGCGCCCCACATGGGGTGCAGCAGGGATGTGCGGGGCACCGCGGGCCCTTCCGAAACCCCGGGGTCTGCGGCGGCAGGAAGCACACCACCCAACCTCAGCATGTCACCTCGGGGAGGAGGAGCCAGGTGGGTCGTCGCAGCTTCAGGAAGGGCTGCCAGGTCCGGAGCTTCGGGGGCCTCCGGGGGAAGAGAGGCGCTTTGGGACCTGGCCGCGGGGTCCGGCGCCTCCGGGTTCCGGGGTGAGGAGCTGCGCCGGGCATTTCGCGCTGCAGAGGGTGGAGAGCCGGTGCCCGGCGGGTGGCGGGCGGGCCGTCAGCTGCCCGGCCCGTCGCTGCCTCCCCGCCCCCCGGCTTCCTGCGGAGGCCGCGGCCGCCATGTTGGCGTGGGGCTGAGGCGGCGCCGGCGGAGCCCAGCGCCCGCGACTGGCTGCGCAACAGGTTCTCCGCGGCGACCTGAGACCCCCCGGCCGGCGGCCGAGCAGGACCTCCCCGCGCCTGCCCGCCGCGCTGCGGGGCTCAGGAGCGCGAGGGCGCGCGGTGACGTTGGGGAGGCGCGGCGCGGCGCCAGGTGGGTGAAGCCGCCGAGTGCTGGGCAGGTGCGGGCGCCGTGGCCGCCGCCCGAAGGCTCTGCGGACTGGGCCGGGCGGCTGCGCCCGGGACGGCGGGGACAGGTCGGGGGAACCGGGGCGGCCCCGAGCTAGGCCCCCGGCGGGCTTGACCGCCCGGGGCGGAAACCTCGACTCCGGTTCCTGCCC